CAAACACGCCGTCACTCCTAAAACTTCCCCCTCCCTAAACATCTAAATGCCATGTTGCCATATCATGTTTTGATTGGTCCACATGGTACATTTTTCCACCAATAGGAAAGGCTGGAGGGGGGCTGTCTTTGCTCACAGGCGGAGTGATTACGAGCGTTTTCCTTATAAAACGCCGTTTTTACCGTTTCTTCCCGCAGTAAATATAAACAACGACAGTATTCAGGAAGAAAACCAAACACTGCAGATATTTTATCATAACTCTGGTTTTACGTGGCCGATCAACACAGTTTAAAAACTGGTATAAAGTCCACACTGTTTCCGTCAGTTGTTCCGTCTGTCCTGCTCACATCTCCAATGGTTGTACACGTTGTCATTAACGTGGCTTCACTCCACATCAACACCGGTGTGGGCACATAAGGACGCTGTCAGAGCCTGTCAACCACGTGGATTAGCTGCGTATAGAATGTGAATCGCATCATTGGCTGGACTGTGGGATAAGGTGGCATCATTCTGATCCCATACGGGAGCAGCCAGTCACTCACTGACTAACACTGCAGAACAGAAATGTTAACGTATTAACATATTTAACATATTTGTGCTGCAACCACAGGATGTTCAAAAAGGAAACAGTTTTAAGACCTCTGAAACGTGGTTTTTGTCACTCCTGCACTGATCTGTGAACATGGAGACATCGGCTGGTTTCCGGCTCCTGGCTGTGCTGCTCTTGGCTGCAACCAGCCAGAGTTTCGGGTGTGTTCATTGTGAAACCTGGCCCCACCTTATCATGTGAATTCCTGAGGTCAGATGGCCCAGGATGTGAGTGGGCGTTAAGGCGTCTGGGAAGGGATCTCAAAACTGGATTATAGATGGCAGAGAGTTGGTGTCGTAAACCCCGCCTCTGTTCAAAGATGGTCGCTCACAGTGGACATAGATGGCTTCTTTCACTCCTCTTTCAAAAGAGGTAATAATAGTCACAGTAACTGTTTCACATGGAAGTGAGAAAATGCAGCAGCTTTCCAAGACTTCAGTGAGTTTTATCAGTAAAAGCAAACATGTTATAAGAGAGATTTCCTCGTGTTGGTCGGCGTAAGTTTGTTTCATCTTTCTATATTTGGCCGAATGAAACAAGTTTAGTTTCAGCCAAACTGGAACAAATAAAACTCTGAAATAAACTAAATATCACCTGTTAGATTTCACTTGAGTGATTCTGAGAGCGTGCTGTCCTCAGGGTCCCCCCGACTGTCTCAGCATTATTGGAATCATTTGCACAGATTGGATTATATATATTATTGGATTGGATGGTAAAGCAGTGAGTTGGTGTAAGGAGAGGACATCCTGATCACCGGGACAGCAAACAAGTGAACTTCAGAGAAGCTTTGAGTGATGGAGACAGCTGCTAAAGGAGAGGAGGAAGTGACGACGAACTTGATGATGAAACTTTGTCTCGACCAGAAACATCAAACCCGAGTTAAAGTTGACGCCTGCACTCTGCTGACAGCTCCAGGAAAGCTGCTGAGCGGGTGTTGCTCAGAATAATCACTCTGGGTGAACTCTGGCTCTGAAACAATGATGAACAGCGACCAGCAGCAGCTGCCTGGCTGGTGATCAGACTCCCAGTTATATCTAATGTAGATGTGTTTGGCTACCACGTCGTAGATATGTGATGTTTTCTATCTTTATTTGGAGTTTAAAGCAAAAACATTAATTAATTAGACATGAAGTTGTTGATAAACTTCTGGAGAGTTTGGAGTTTGTTTAGACTGAGTTTTGTTATCATTTGTTTCTATGATTATTCTAGATTAACAGTAATCTGTCATCATACACACATCTGATTACTGGGAGTTCTCTAACAGAGAGTATTGTGTTTAGACTTCTTGCATGTCCTTCATTGGCCTTCCTGGTGTCTTCTTATCTCTCATCATTAAGTTGTTGTCTTTGGTTCTGTGCTCTGCTGTTTAGTCACTTCCTGTTGTGCTTTGCTCTTTGTTTACTTCTTTTGTTTGTTGTTGTCTGTTCAGGAGTTTGTTCACGATCTTTTAGATTCACTTTAATTAAAACTTCGTTGTGTTTACTTTGTCTGCTCGCTGCATTTGGGTCATTTTGGCAAAACTGTGGGAGGAACATCCTGGAATCAGCAAAGACTGAGACTGCGCTCAGTGTAGGAAACCACAGGCTGTACGGAAGAGGAAAAGGGTTTGAGACCTCTGACACGTGGTTTGCTGTCACTCCTGCACCGATCTGTGAACATGAAGCTCTCGGCTGGTTTCTGGCTCCTGGCTGTGCTGCTCTTGGCTGCATCCAGCTTCTCTCAGGATCAGATTGTAAAGAAGTACTTTGAGGATGGCGACACGCTTCAGCTCAGCCCTCAGCCGGTTTCTGAAAAGATCACCAGCATCGTGTGGTATTGTGATGAATACCTGCTGGCTGAGTGGGTGAAAGACTTGATTGAGCTGAGAGATCACATCTCGTTTAAAGGCCGAACCACTCTGAACACTGACACGGGAGTGTTGGAGATCAGGGACATGACTGCGGCGGACACTGGAGTGTATTCAGTGGAGATCAACAACCAAGTCCAGAGTCGGGTTCATCAGGCTGTGAGGATTAAAGCAGCGCCTCGGCCTGTGGTGAGTGTGAGGCCGCTGTTGTGTAACTCAACCTCAGAGAGCTGCACACTGAGCTGTGACGGAGACGTCAGCGCTGCTGGGCCTGTCGAGTATTCCTGGAAGATCGGAGACGGAGAGTGGAAGCAGTCAGGAACGAACATGGAGATCATCAATAATGAGGAAACACAGCGTGTTACGAATTTCATCTGCAGGATGAAGAACCCAGTGAGTGCGAGAGACAGCAAACCTCTCCCTAACCCACTCTTCCAAATGCCTCACTTTCCATCTTCATCATCACCGATGACGGTCAGTGACGATACAGAGAGTGAACCGCTAACAAAGGCCCAGATTACAAATGGAGTTTAGGCGCTGTGACCTCTGGGGTCGCGGGGGTCTTTGTGGTGGTCGTCCACCTGTTGAGGCAGAAACGAGAGACGCTCCACGTCTGCAAATGCAGTAAAAGTGATGATGATGATGATGATGCAGTTTAAAGTCGAGTATCTGCTTTGATTTCCTGATGACGATTAAAGCCTGTCTGCTCTCCTTAAACCAAAGTTGATGTTTGTTAGCTTGTAAAACGTTTCTGCTTTATTTCCACACTAATGATCATCATGGTCGGCCATGTTTGTAGTTTTTCTTTAAATCATTTCTTGTCTTTTTTAGAGTTTTTGTATCTCCCTTGTCTGCACTTGTCATTGATATATTAGTTCCTCTTTCATCATTACTCATTATGGTGATTTGTGTTTTCTGCACCTTTGATGTTTTCACTTCCTGTTTTTGTCAGTTTTCCGTCCTTCGTGTTCGTAGCGCCGAGTTAGTTTCGCCCCCTCAGGTCTGTGGTTTTATACGTCTGACTTTCTTGTGTCAGACATGTTTCCATGATTTCTTATTTCTTTGAACTTTGCATTTAAAACTCACCTTTAAAAAATGATTCTTGCCTGAAGTGTCCTTTCTTCCAGAGACTGTTATACAGATCGTGTTTGGAAAGTAATTATTCATCTGTAACCTGTCATGGAGACACAAATATGGTGAGAGATCAGACACAGTTTACAGATGTACCTGTGACATCAGTGACCAAGATAACAACAGCCTCATCTCAGTTTAATAAAAAAATGTTTTTCCAGCAATTTAATAATCATTTCATGTTTTTAAAATAAATGTTCAGCAAACCTTTAATGTCCTGACGGGCTATAAAAGCCTTTTTTATTTATTTTATTTTATTTGTTTTAATCTCTTTAATAGAAGATTTAATTATTTCTGACTTTACTGGATAAAAATATTTAATGGGATTTACAGAAAAACTCTGGATTGTGTGAGCATTTCCAATTTAAATGTCTGTGAAGGTTCTCAGTCATCCAGGTCATCGTAGTCAAAGGAGCTTGCAAAGAAAAGCGTCTGGACTTCTTTAAGTTGCTTGAAGACGTTTCACCTTCATCCGAGAAGCTTCTTCAGTTCAAAGGTCAAATGGTGGAGAGTCCCAGATATAAACCTAGTGGGAGTTTCCCCCCACAGAGGGACAAAAGGACCTCCTGATGATCCTCTAACTAAATTCCAATTTAAAGTTTTATCAGTGACCATAAACATGTTAGAAGAGAGATTTCCTCATGTTAGTCAGCGACATTTGAGATATTTCAGCTGTAAATATTTGAACGAATAAAACGTCTTCAGTCTCAGCCAAACTGGAACAAAAAAAAACCCTGACGTAAACTAAACATCACCTGCTTCACCTCAGTGAATCATGTCCTGTGTTTACCTCCACTGAGAGGTGAGGGTCAGTGCGCTGGGAGCCGGCTGTTCACAGAGGGTCTTGTGAGCTCTGACCACCGGTCAGCTGATCGCTGGTTGTTAGGCTGACGGGACCTGACATCTCGGAAACATCAGAGCACTTTTGCAGCTCTGTCTTGACAAACTGACCAGATGTTTGATGATTACACCACCAGACTCTCGCCTAAGCAAACCTTAAAAGTGTATTTGAGCGTGACTGAACACATGATTCTTGGTGTTTTCTCTGTTTTTTTGTGTCATTGTACAGTTTTGACCTTACAATATAAAGATCCTTGAGGCAACTGTTGTTGTGATTTGGCGATATATAAATAAAATGAACTGAACTGAATTGAGTATTTGGTGACCCAGCAACGGACAGTTTCAAAATTTTCTTGCAGTTTTGGGTGTTTTGCTCCGTCACAGACAGTTATGATTTCATTCATTCCTGTTGCTCCGAGTCCTTCGCATCAGTCTATTACCTGGGATCAATCTGTCTTAATATGCTGTGCAGGATAAACTATCAGATGGTAATAACCTGTAGCCATGAACCATGAAATATTAGTGAAATAATTAAATATAACAAATACTATTTGTATTAATTGATTACAGGTTTATGGAATTGATTACTTATATATGAAATTAAATATTATTATTATTAAATATATGATTGAATATTTGACCCCTATTTTAATTATTTATTGAGACCTGTAATTCATTTTTTTAATAATGCATTTACTTTGATTTTGGCACTCTTTGCACTCCATAGACCTGCAGGCTAGATTAAGTAATATTAAATCTCAAAGTAAGCTAAAAAAAATAACGTGATGCAAGTGGGAGTTGTGTTTTTCTGTGCTGGATCACAGTTACCTGAGTTAGTGGAGGATCCAGCCTGCAGTGATTCATTAGTTTCTTTTTCACACTCCTTTATTAGTTTTGTAAATCTTTTCATGTCTTTTTAGCTGTGACAGTAGCAGGCAAGCTTTGTGTCACAAGTTGTGTTAAATGTGTGTACAAGACATAAATATGGACTAAAAAGGATGACTCCTGTGGACTACAGCACAGTTCAGCTGTTGTGTAATTCAACCTCAGAGAGCTGTAAACTGAGCTGTGACGGAGACGTCAGCGCTGCTGGGCCTGTCGAGTATTTCTGGAAGATCGGAGACAGAGAGTGGAAGCAGTCAGGAACGAACATGGAGATCATCAATAATGAGGAAACACAGCGTGTCCCAACTTTCTCCTGCAGGACGAAGAATCGAGAGACAGCAAACCTCTCTTTAACCCACTCTTCCAAATAAAACCTGCAGACTGTGGACACTGGATTATAGTTTTAGGTGCTGTGATGAGATCTCTGGTGATCGTGGCGCTCTTTGTTGCCGTCGTCTACTTTTTGTGCCAGAAACTTCCTTCTGTCTGTGTCTGTAAACACAGAAAAGGTCATAATGATGCAGTTTAATGTTGACCTTCACCTTTGGTTTCCTGGTGAAGACTAAAGCACGTCAGTCCTGAAAGTTCACATTTATTTGCTCATAAAACTGTTCTGCTTATTTTCTATAGCAGTGATAATCACCAGGCTGTCATGGCCATGGTCTGCCATGTTTGTAGTTTTCTCTGTTCTTGTGCCTTTTACAGTATTTGTATTTGTCTGTTTCCCCTCTTTAACAGTAAGTATTAAAAGCCGACGTTTGTTCATCGTCTCTGCCTCCAGCGTCTTTGCTTCATCAAACAGAATCAAGTTTGATAAAAAAATCGATCATTGAAGAGAAATGCTTTGTGATGCAGTCTAACATCATTATGGCTTTTAAAAAGTTGACTAAAGCAACACCTGGAAACATTTGCAACCAGTCTTTTTCCTCCAATCAGAAACAAGATTGAATGATAACGCTCACACTGCACATGCTCAGTGAGACCTGCCACATTTATTTTAAAAAGTGCAAAACTAGATTTTTGAGCTCCATTTTTCTTCTTAAGTTCTTGAACTTCTTCAGGAGGATCCTGAGGAGTTCGAGGTGACGAAGCTGTGACTTCTGTCTCCACCACTGCTCAGACTTCCTAATGTGGGTCTTTAAAGCGGGGCTGTTATCTCATGGCGGTCAGTCAAGGCTCTGACATCAGCCTTCAGTGGTTCAGAGGGATTATAAAAAGGTTTTTGGGACTTCCCCCTCACAAATGTTTTCATGATGAGGCTCACCACACATCTACTGAAGGAAACCACAGGAAGCACTGAAGAGAAAAAGATACCTGCTGATCTGTTTCCGACCCTCACCTGTAGTCATGAGCTCTGGGTGATGATGGATACAAGCAGGGGGTGAGCTTCCTGGTGGCTTGTTGGTAGTTTTAAAGCTGTTGTGGTTCTGGGTCCTGTTTTTGAGTTTTGCATCTTGTAAATAATTAATCGTTTGTTGGGTTTAGACTTCTCAGTGTTTTTCATGTTTCCTGTTTTATTTTGAAAGTGTCTTGTCTCTTCTGTATTCATGAGGAGGGTCCGTCATCATCCCAGTTCCTCCCAGTTTAGGTTTTCTGTTTTAGTTGTCTTGCAGGGGGACGAGCTGCCTGTGAGCCTACTTGCATTTGTAAAGCAGATTCAGCAGCAGAAACACAAATGTGTGTGTGTGTGTGTGTGTGTGTGTGTGTGTGTGTGTGTGTGTGTGTGTGTGTGTGTGTGTGTGTGTTATTGGGAAGCTTCTCTGGGAAATAACTTTATCTGTTTATCTGTTCTAATTCTGAAATGTTGGGAGAGCAAAAGCCAGAGCAGCTGTAGCTGTGTGAGGGAGGCAGGATTAGGACCCGATTAGCAGGACGTGGGCTCAAAGCAGCTTTACTGCAGGACTACAAAGACCTACAGCACATACAAGACAAAGGCTCCTGACATGTGTCATCACAACACCATGCACAGCTGTGTGCACTCTTTATATTTCAGCTTGGATGGCTAATATTAGAGTGTTCAATTATAAACTACATTTAGTGTTCAGTAAAATGTGGAAAAAGACGCGTACAGACACAGCATTAAAAGAACACCACCTGAAAACCCTCCAAAATATGACGTATTAGAATAGACAGGTATGTTATAAGATACTCACTGCAAAGGAGCTTACAGGAGAATGCTACCAGCAGCTGTGATGCTGCATACTGTGCATGTATGTGAGATAGAAAGTACTTACATAGAAAACACAGAGAAAAAACGGGTGTGAATGAGGCACGTTGGGCAAAGCGCTACGAGAGTAGAAAAGCCAACCATTCACCATCTACTTCTGTGTAATATCATCCAATACCACAGGGTGGCGCTGTGAGCCAGTGTTGGAAGAGGACAGCAAACGGTCTGAAAGTGCTGAAGTCCCAGATGAGACTGGAAAACAACAAGTGATGATGAAGTTTGTCAGACTGGAAAGCTCAAAGTGCCGTTACTGCTGATGTTGAGGGGAGCAAACATGCACGTGATTACTGAAGCCAGTCCACAGGTTTTAAAGCCACTTATGTGGTACTGGGCTGTGGGAGCCACTTATTTGTCCACACACAGTATGTAAAAGCCCGTTTATTTCCCAAATCCACCATGAAGAAGTTATACCAGCCAGAGGGCAGTGAGTCATGATGCCGTCACGTCTCACACAACATAAAAGGTGGACTTTGCTTCTTGGTCTGAAAAGTGAAGCCAGCTTGCTTTATAATGACGCCTCTGCACGGCTCATCCTGCAGTCATGACCCACTGTGACTGATCAGCATCACCCAAGCTGTGGGCTGGAGGATCTCGATCTGTCATCAGAGGGACATCTAGACTCTGCAGTGAGCCTGCGTGTGTGTTTGAACAGTGGAAGAACGTGCATGCTCCACAGAAAGGTCGGCAGGAAGTTTGAACAGCGACCCTTCCTCCTGTAAGGTAACAGCAGCTCTGCATCACTGCACCTTCTTATATCTTACTGAGGCAACTGTTTCTGGTAAATCACTGCCATGCAGTGGTGAAAACCCGAGTACAAGCGTGCAAACTCAGTTAGCTCCTTTTGCGTGTTGAATTGTCTTCCTGAGTGAAAATGTTTACGTTTTTCTTGCTAAGGTTGTTGCATGCTGCAGTGTCAGTGAGGCTCAGTGTGAGGGGGTGCTTGGCCAGGAAGCGCCTTGAGGCGACTTATGTTGTGATTTGGCGCTATATAAATAAAATTGAATTGAATTGAAATTGAATTGAAGCTTGAGGCAGAGGTGAGAAGTTTTGCTGCACATCAAAGTTTCCCTGAAGCAGAAACAAAATGACTATTTGAATTTGGGGTTTGACTTCTTTCCAGTTTTCGCCACAGGTCTCACCGCAGTCACTGAAGGGAAACACAGCAGTGCAGAGAGTGGTTCAAGCCCTTGCACACATCTGTCACTTCAGTGCTGATTGGTGGACATGCTGTTTGCTGCACTGAACTCTTCTGGAGCCCAAATTTTTCTCTCATACTTCAAGGTTGGTGGCACACTGGTCCTCAGTCCTGCCTGGGCCTACGGTAAAAACCTGCTGGCTGAGTGGGTGAAAGGCTCGATTCCTCTGAGATATTAAAGCAGATTTAAAGGCCGCTCAGACCTGAACACGACCACCGGGGTGTTGGAAATCCACAACATGACTGCAGCGGACACTGGAGTGCATTCAGTGGAGATCAGCAACCAGGTCCACTGTCGGGTTTATCAGACTGTGGAGATCAAAGATGTGCCCCAGCCTGAGGTGAGCGTGCAGCTGCCAGCGTGTCGCATGAACTCAGAGGACTGAGCTGTGATGGAGACGCTGATCAAAATGGGCCTGTTGAGTAGTTCTGGAAGAAGGATGATGGAGAGTGAGAGCAGTCAGGAAAGGAGATGGAGATCCTCAATAATGAGGAAACACAGCGTGTGAAAACTTTCTCCTGCAGGATGAAGAACCTGGTGAGTGAGAGCGACAGCGAGCCCATCGATAATCCGCTCTACCAGGAGAAAACCCCCGACTGTGGACTCTGTGTCACACTTTCAGGGGCTGTGATGAGATCCTTGGCGATCCTGACTCCGTGTTGGGCGGCTGTGTGTTTGTGGACAAACGAAAGACTCTTCGTAAATGCAGAAACACACACAGCTGAAGCTGAACCACCGCCTTAATTTCCTGCTGTAGATAAAAGTGAATATTTTACTTTTTAAAGCAAAATAGTTCAGATAAAGTCTGTTTGCTGTGGTTGTTTTACAAGCCTGGGTTTCTGTTGTAACAGCTTGGTGTGGCTTCATCGAGGAGTCAGCTGTTATACACAGTGTCCTCTCCACAGTGTCCACAGAGAGAGAACAGCTCCACTCTAGAGTTTTATTTGTGTGTCCCAGATCACACATACAGGTACAAAAGCTTCACTGGCAAAACACAGTATTTAAAACAATGAAAAACAATTTAGAAACAATTTCAAACAAATAAAAACCAGAAATGTTTGCAAAATATAAAGATGCATGCAGACGCAGAAGAACAGAAAGGAAGCAAAGCTGGTGCTGCTCTCACTGCAGACTGCAGCTTAGTTACAGCTCTGCATCCTCCAAGTACGAGTCTGTCGTGTTTGTCAGAATTTATTTGAATTAAAACTGAAAAACAAAACCGAGAAAACAGAAGCCGAAAAATTACTATGATTGAGTCAAAATTTGAAAATGCTGCAATGATTCAGTGAAATGTACAAACGCAGAAGTGCAGCACACAAGGTGAACGAGTTTGTACAACTCTAACAAGCTTGAAACCGAATCTTTGTTGTGAGCAGCTCTGTCAGCATCCTCAGGGTGACGTCTCCAGGCTTCTTCTTTGTTCTGGTCCCTGTCAGGATGATCCCACACTGCTTCAGTCAGGCTGAGGTCGGCTCTGTGGAGGCCCTTCCATGACTGATGGTGTCCTGCGGTGTGTTATTATATCCAGGTGTGCTTTCACTGCACTGAAGTGTGTTTGCTGGAACAGGAAGCTGCTGGTATTGTATGGCGGATCGAAATATGATGGAACTTTCTGTGTTAATAATTCATATCTCCAACAGCCATGCTGACTATAATCTGAGCCAAACACGTCGGATGTGGGTTCATCTCTCCGTCAGACCTGTCCCTCTGATCTTCGGTCCAGTTGACAGCCGTCCTTCACTGGATCCTCTCATCACCAACGATGATGACACCGCCTACAGAGATGAGATCCAGCGGCTGTCAGATTGGTGTAACTACAATAACCTCACCCTAAACACCAAGAAAACCAAGGAAGTGGTCATGGACTTCTGCAGAACAAGAACTGATCCCCCTCCCCTCTCCATGAAAGGTGACTGTGTGGAGAGGGTGTCCTCCTCTAAGTTCCTCGGCACCCACATATCTGAGGACCGATCTTGGTCCACAAACACATGAGCCCTGGTGATGAAAGCCCAGCAGCGCCTCCATTTTCTGAGGGTCCTGAGATGGAACAGGCTGCAGACTGACCTCCTGTCCTTCTGCCGTGCCACTATCGAGGGCGTGCTGGTGCACGCCATCCCTGTGCGGTACGCTGGTTGCACAACAGCGAGCCTACAGAGGGTCATCAGAAGTGCAGAGAAGCTGTCCACTCCCCTCACTGGACTTATTTATTTATTATATTATATAACTGCCCTTGTATGCAGCCCCACAATGTTTCTGTTTCAGTGTTTCTTACACATACACCATGTGTAAAGTTCACTCACATATACGTTTTCTCTTCTTTACTTTTGCACCTTTGTGGTCCAGCTACCCAAATTTTGCTCTAAGTCTCTCAGGTCCTGTGTCAGGTCTTTGCTGGATGCTTTCCTCTTTCTGAAAGACGTGACCTTCACTGCTCATCTGCTGTAGAAAGTTTTTAGACCTCACACTTCTTCTTTTGTCCAGTTTCCTCAGATTTTTTTTAACAACGTGGTGCACACCTTTGTAAATGTGTGTTGGTGCAAAAGTGTTATTTTATCTCAAAGTGTGTTATCTTTGGCTCAAGACTTTTGCACAGCACTCCAAAGCACTAAAAGAAAACGGATTCCCCAGAATCCCCAAACATGGTTTTGACCAACAGCCCTCATTCATGGTTCTGTGAGTGTTTCACTGATGAGCTGTGGGAGGTTAACAGGTTACTGTCAGAGTGAAAGAGCAGGAGGTTATGCAGAGCGGTTGGGCCAGTCTGTCTTTGCAGCCAGTGTTTCCTGATTGAAGGTAAAGATAGCACATTCTCTGGTTTCCTGTGCAGCATTTTTCCTGGCTGAGTGGATGGAAGACGCCACTGACCTTGTATATTTTAGCAGATTTAGCGGCCGTTCACACCTGAACACTGATCCACTGCTGAAGATCAGGAACATGACTACAGCTGTCACATTTGTGTATTCAGTGGAGATCAACAACACGGTGTAGAGTCCCAGGTAGTGAGAAAGAGAGCGAATCCATCAATAATGTTTTCCACAGAGAATAAACAGGCCTCTCTTCTAAATCCAGCCTTATGATATCTCTGGGAGTCCTGCGATGGCTTGGGGCAGCAAAACCAGAGTTTGAAAAGGAAATGCAAGTTTTTGCTTTATTTTCAGTGTTAATCATGTGTCAGATATCAAATATCAGTCTTCAAACGCTGATCTTTTTCAGGCTTTTTATATTTTTTAATTACTTTTTTCTGCCATCTTATCTGTGAATCATATAGGTATTTGTTGTGCCTGAAAACGAACAAATAAATGAAATGAATGAATGAAATGAAATCTCTTTGACCTGCGCTACCCTGAATAAAACTTAAGAATAAAGTTTGATCTCTCTGCAAGCGTGACCTGGTCAATATGCCAGCAGACATTAAGGATAAACAATCAGATTTGACTGATGAACTATGAAAGATCAGGACAGCATCATTGTAGTTTTGATTTTTTGATTAGTTTTACTTCATTTTGAATTATTATTTTTGTTTCAGTTAGTTGCTCATATCAGTTTAGTTTTTATTGTTCCAAAACATTTAGTTTGTGTGAGTAATGCCGAGTGTATTTGTCAGGACTGGATCCTCCTTGTGATTTCTGGCTTGATAAATTTGACCACAATGACAAAAGCTCAGGTGATTTCTCGAATAGTATAATTTCAGTTTTTTTCTAGATTGTTAAAAGCACACAGAGCATAGTTCTGCCAGGCGCTTGCTCAAATGGTGATCATCTGATTACAGGTTTTCTCCATCTTTGTATTAATATAACGTCTTACCTTACAACATACTGTGTCTTGAGACAGTTGTTGTTGTGATTTAGTGCTATATAAACAAAAATTGGACTAAATTTTTTCCAGTCTAGTCTTCAGATTAGTATTCGTTAACTGTAATAACTCTGAGTTAGTTTGAGTGTTTGTGTGCCTTTTTTTAATGGGGTCAACAAAGGTTTGAGGTGCAGTTACACAGATTGACCACAGGGTGTCACTGTAAACCTCTTCAGCGAATCAAAACACAGTTGTGGTGAATGACGTCATTGTTGGGGAATTTTCAAGATGGCGCTGGACTGTGGCCGGGATGCCGCTGCTGCTGCGACTAGCTAACAGTTGGGGGATTTAATTAATCTTCTGCCCGGTGGCGACGCAAGAAAGCGGCCGTGAAGCGTACCTTTGTCTGCATTAAACACCTGAGACGGAAATGTTGCGCCGGGTGTGTGTCAGGTAGCGTTAAACCGGCTCTGAAAATGCAGGTAGCCCCTTCCTCCAAGAACAACAAAACCTGCTGCTGCGGAGCTCGGCCCACCGGGCAGGGGGACTCGTTGCAGGAACTTACGCCCGCGGCAGAGGCTCGCTTGTGGGACTGAGAAGTCATGGAGACTGTGAGGGAGAACGGAGGGTCGTTCGGAGTCGACTTGAACGAGAACGAAGAGGGAGAAAGAGGTGGCGGAGCGGGGAAATCAGCACTCAGAGACCGCAGCATCGCGCTGCTAGCCGGGGTCAGCGCGGTGCAAGACGCTGGGAAGGCTTTCACCGGCCTCGGCAGGGATGTAAACACTGACGCCTCCTTGAAAGGGAAGATAATGCTGGAGAGGCTGTTCCCCGGCCAGGTTTCCGGGGTCTGCGGGGACCACAGTGGCCTGAACGGGTTCACTGAGGAGGAGCTGTCGGTGGTCGAGTTGGAATTAGGAGGAGGGCTTGGCCTTGAGGGCACCACAGCTGCTTCCTGTCCAGCTGTGCTCTCAGTGGAGAAGATGCGGGGGGACAGCAAAGAAGAAGCCCGGGACTCAGACTGTGTTAGCCCGGGGGGAGAGGCAACAGGAGGCGGGTGTATCAGGACTGCTCTGCCCGGCCATGAGCTGGCATGCGCGGTGAGGGAGCACCGGCGGAACTGCGCCTGCACCGCGGGGGTAAACATGCCCAACGGGGCTGCTGACAGCTGTGAGGGGGAGGCAGGGTTATTTCCCACCCAGCAGCTTTGCGTTTGCGACTGTGAAGAAGTGAAAGTGGCCAACGGGGGTTTCCACACACAGGACCTGGACTCGGGCTGCTCACCTGAAAACACCCCTGACTGTCAGTTTAAATCGAAGTCTAGGCATGAGAAGAGGGTAGGGTCCCCTGGATTAAGTGCCAAATCCCCCTCTCCCTGCCCTTCATCCAGTGGCAGCCCGCTCTCTGAGCGCAACACCAGGGATGAAGAGGAGGTGGAGGACGATGAGGAGGGTTTCAGTGACCCCAGCTCACCTCCCGTCAGGCCGCAGAGTCTGAGGACTAACCCCAACGTGGCCGTGTCCCTCAGCTGTGACGCCACCCCGCTGTCCCCAGAGGATGAGGAGGATGGGGGCTTTTATTTTGAAGGGTACGAGGAAGACCTGAGGGGCGTTTTGGAGGCGGGTCGCCGGCAGAGCGCTCCGGACACGCTGCCGGACCTGAACCAGGACAGCTCGGACCCCAAGCAGATGCCAAAGAGGTTCGGCATCGCAGATTTCTTCACCAGGTAAAATGATCACGTGGTCTGCGGGGCAATAAAGAGTGCACGTGCTAACTCCCAAAGGACCCCCTCCCTCCTCATATGGTCTTAAGGCTTTAGTCTTACTACTGTATTAAAATATAAGTAAACAACATGAAGACAACTGAAAAGGATAAAATACAAGGTTTTAATTCTCAGTCAATCCAGGCTCAATTATTTTAGTAAAGAAGCTCATAATTTAAAGATTCAAACAGAAAAAAATAAAGATTTAAAAGCTGATTGGACTTTAGTTAGCGTTATTAAAATACATTTTACATATAGGAAATACCTTCTTTTATTTACTTATCTGTCCTTAAGATTCATGGAAATAAACAACATAAGGCTGAAAAATATAAAACACACTTTTATTAATTTGTGCTTCCAAATGCAGATTTTAGGAAATAAAGCTCATGATGTAGAGATTTAAATGCTCGGTGATGAAGATGCATCCTTGCATCCAGCAGCTGTCTCCGCCTACTCTTCTCGCTCCACCTTTCCACATTAAAGGTCACTTATTGTATTAAACAGACGACCTCTCAGAGCTGCTGTCTGGGGCCTGTAACACTGTAAAATCCTGCACGTTAATCTCATCTCAGCTCTGTATGTGTGACACAGCAGGCATCGGCGAGCATCGACTCAGCGCTGCCTCTTTCCCCGGGGCTTCACCGCTCCCTTTGCTCTTTTCCCGGAGCGGTTTCAGCCATTAGAGGCGATTGATCACGCCGTGTAACCACCGTGCAGCTGCCCAGATGCTGTGACTGTGTGCTGATCAGGCACGAATGAGATTACATGCTCTCAGTTCCTGAAAAGCTGATTTTTAGACGTGTCACATCGACTTTGAATAAACCCCACACGCACAGGTGGTTGAACTAAAAGGCTTTGAAACACAGTCTGGGCTCTTTAGATGGAGCTTTTTAGCCTCTGTGCTAGAATTAAGGCAACAGAGCAGCAACACAGGAACACATTTCCCCTTTTTAACCAAAGAAGCGAGTCACGCTGAAGCAAAAGAGAAGGTGAATAAATGAAGGAGAGGCTGAATTACTAAGCTTTAGCTCTTAATGTACAAAACCTCCAAACATATAAGAGCAAAGCTGGAAATATTTGAGCTGTGGGTTACTGGATTATTTTCAGATTGTTGATGACTTTGTGATGATTTTGCTGCCGTCCTGACGCAGGGACAGCGCTGTCTCCCTCTCACTCTTTGCCACATAAACAGGGCAGTGACTCAGTGACCTTTGAGGTTTCACTCCTACAGTGTTGGTGCTAAAAAGCAACGCTAGTTCATAACCTGTGTGAATCTGTGTTATCTCCACCTGTTGGTCCATTATGAGCCTGCTATTGAGTGCATCCTGAATTTGATTGCTTTGTTTCGGTCTTTTATTTATTCAAACCAAGATGGCCGTTCTTTGGTCATTTTAATTTGGTTCTTGTTGTTTCCAAGAAAGAGTCGAGTAGATCTTCAATGATTGCATGAGCCCCAGGCCGAGGGAAGTGGGCGCTCTCCATATTCCCAATGAAACAGGGGGAAACGCCCTCCTCCTGCTTTGTCTCGTTTTGAGATGACAGATTGATGGCGTCATTTCCCATACACGCCACACAGACCCTCTTAGCAAATATACAAGTAACCTCCTGTTGTTGGACTGGATAATGTTAGCTGACGGGACTAAACACGACATTTCAAATGAGATATAAAATCAGATAATGCGGTTTTATGTTGCATGACGTAAAGTGTTGTCCGTCTTCTCTTAAAGGGAGACGGCACTGGTCCTGCGATAAGTAATAAGTCAAAGTTTGAAGATATATGTTGATTAAATGTTAAAATTTTGAATAAAGCAACAAAGAGTTAATTTGCAGAAATGGCGTGCTGGGAAAGGAGTCGTTCTTTTCAGCTCTACCAGAATCCTGACAAAAAATGATCATTTTATTTCACAGGAAACAAGAGTTTGTTTGTTTTAAAAACCAAAGGCGATTAGACAACAATCTCACACATTTGTGGAGGTAAAATTCCCGTTTTTGTGAATGGAGTCTGGTGGAATGTGATGGCTTCACATCCTCGTCAGAGTGAAGCACTGAAAACGTTTAACCTTTAAATATGCAGCATACGAACACTGAATTCTTTTTTTTTTTGCATTTTATTTCAGTCAGCTGTTTGTAAAGTCCCACTCTATGTTCTGTATTCTGTTCTGGTCCTTATCACCTACTCCTGCTATGTGCAGTCTTTTTTATTGTAGTGCATCTCTTCCTGTTTTGTAACAGCTGAAAGTACACACTCGTGCTTTGCATTAAAAGTCAAATTTCCGGTCAAATACTTGACAGAATTCCTCAGTTGTTGGAGTCGGTCTTCAGACAAGAAACGATTACATTTATCAGATTGTCTGCAGTTCAACAGGAAGCACACAGGGCCTTCTCAGAAATCAGAGGAGAGCAGGTTGGGTGAGGACCTGAAAGCAGCGGCCTCCTGCAGGCTGATAGCTGAAGGGCTGTTTGTTCAGAGCTGAGAACGTCTAAGTTTGTATCTTTGCCTGAAATGCAGTCCGTTTTTTGTCATTCGACTGATTAGATTTGGTCTGGAGTCAGTTTTCTTGTTTGTCCGCTGTAACCACAACACCGCAGGTGGTTAGGACATCCAGACCCTGCTAATTTGGTCCCAATGCTGAGCCTTGCTGATTTTAATCATGCTCGGTGCGGTCTGGTGCCGCGCTCATTGATTGCTGCTCAGTCAGAGCCAGGAAGTGTGGATGCAGGTGTGCGCAGTATCTGTTTGAGAGTACGGAAGAGACACTCTGTCGGTAACTGATGATTAACCCAGAGCACCCAAACAGAGAGCAGAAAGCAAACTTGAAGTCTCAAGGTTGGAGATTGATCTGCTGGCGGATATGTGCTCATCCAGCATAACCTCGTTAGTCAAACGATCCTCGGCAGCGGTGGAAACCCGCCGGGCGCTCCGGGACATGGCTCGGTTTATCTAACAGCCCAGTTTTAGTTTGTTTTGCTGAACTTTGTGAGTGCCGTCGTTCTCTTTGGCTTCATTTGTCTCTCCTGTTGGAACAGCTAACCTCACTTCAGTGTTGGTGCTTTAGGGTTATGATCTGAAATCATGACCATGCTCCACGTTGAGTTCATATTTGCTTGAAGTCGTCTGTAAATGGCAAAAACAATCATCGTGGCTTTTTGTTGTTGTTCATCGACCGGTGTGACTCATTGAAACCAGCCGTCCACTCTGCCCCTCACACCAGAGACCACAGTCCCACACAGAACACATCATCTCTGCTTCATATGACTTTAACACTAAGATGCACTAATTCAGTATTTATTGAAGTTCTGGTGCTGAAACTACTTTGATTGTTTGTGATTTTAGGAAAAAAAGCACCAGGACATTTTGCATGCATGAACAGATGGGATCATTTTCCATCACTATTCTGCATTTTTCCATGAGAGCAGGCTGAAACATCAGAATGATAACCGTGGAATTGAATCTCTGGGGGCACGAGGCTGCACTCAGTTCACATGATTTAATATGCTGCAGATATTTGCCTTCTACAGTTACGTATAATTGCTTTGAGCAGATAAGGCTGCAGGTGAAGTTCGGTTTCCTGTTTTTATTGTGCTGTAAAGGAGGATTGCTTTGTTTCATCCTGAACTGACTGCATGATTTCCTCCCTCGTGACTTGAACAGTGACTCCAGCAGCAGAATAAAGATGTTATATTACGTTGATAGTTACTGGAAGAGCTCCAACGTTCCTCTGAGCCACACAAGGAAGTGAAAAAGAGAGAAATGCAGCAGCAGAGAGTTTCCCTAAAGTTTGGTCGCATTCAGAAACTTGAGCGTTGGATTTTTCTCTGTTTGACTAATGAAGCAAAAACAGTGCCTGACTGGCAGGTGCAGGAAAATTTATGTTTGTTAAATCTGCATCTGGGTCTGGGCTGGTTTTTTGGGTTGGATGCGAGCCCTGCAGCTGGCTTGAATGTCACAGCGTCTCAGAGGAAATCCAGACAGACGGAGGAGGAAGGCCAAGGGGAAAACAGCCCAGCTGGAAAAACTCCACTCTGGCCGTGTGGCCCACAGAGCTCAGGCAGGTCAGCCAGGGTCACATACAGGCAGCAGTGCTACTTTAAAGTGGACCTGTGCTGTTCCTTATTTCCTGTCACCCACCTCCTCTTCCAGAGGTGGATGTTAAAGTTAAGCTTATGTACACGTGCGTCTGGGTCAGTTTTAGTTGGTGGTTTCCCACTCAAACCTTCTGTTTGTGAGGGGCAGCCAATCAGAAGAAAGATGGCTTAAATGAAAGATTCATTTAAACTATGAAAGAGCCCAAGATTAAACAACAAGTGGAACTGCAGCTCTGAACATGCACAGCTTTGTGCTCACGTCCTGCTTCTAATCAGCTGTTGGAATAACACCGAACCAGCCTTTAATTATTTAAGGTCTTCGTTAGATGTGCTCACCTCTGCAGTTAATTATTAATGCAGTGTGTAGTGCAGCCTCAGTGTTTCACACAGAGTTGCGCTCTATTTGTGATGGCAGCACGGTGTCTTTTAAAAAAGTCATAAAAAGACCCTCGTATACTTTTGCAGGAATAGATAATAGATGATAAACAGCTGCGCCTCCCGTCAGTGACTCCCAGCACATCCAGGCCATCTGCTTCAGGCTGCAGCTTGCAGCAGATCAACAGAACAGAGCAAAGTTTACGCTACAAAAACTGCTTGGTTAGGTTTGTCTCAGAATAATGTTTACCCCACAATTTACTGAATTCTCTTCTACAGCCTCTGACTTCTACATCAGTCAGGACAAGCTCGGGAGAGCACCCTGTGGAACAGGAAGTCAAGAGTCTGGGATTATTTCTGTCAAAATAAACACAAATTAATACTTGAATGGCTCCCACTACTGAAGTTTGTGTGTGAAACACTGAGGTTAGGTCTTATCACACATAAACACTAGGGGTGGGGGAAAAAATCGATACTGTGTAGCATCGTGATATTTTGTTTGCTAATAATGTATCGATACAGGGACGGCAGAAACCGATATTTTGTTACAAAAAAGGTTTTTGTGCTCTGACTTCAGAGCATGTTGATCCTTTTTCTGAGCAACAATCCTGACACTGTCCAAATGTGTTTAACTGTTTTTTGGCAGCAATAAACATGACAGTTTACTGATTTTAATTTAAGACATGTTTTATTTTAATTAAGTTTAAAACTTTTTTATTTAATGTAAAATTATATTTTGTTTTAATTTACTTTCAAATTCTTCAGTTGCTGAAGGGGCTGCATAGTTTTCATATTGCATAGTTCAGAATAGCTGTAATTGTACCAGATGGTTGCATTCAGTTCAGTTGGACTAGACTGTAATACAAACCGTTCAGTTTGTCAACAATAAAACTGAAATGAGAGAAAGACTGAGTGCGAGACTTTGTTATTAGAGAAAATGAATATTGATAAAGTTTAACTTTATGTACAGAATCTGAATATCGCAAAATATTTGAAAAAATTGCAATAATATCGTATCGTGCGTTAAGTATTGTGATAATATCGTATCGTGGGATGTATGGTGATTCCCACCTCTAATAAACACCCACAGAGGCTGAACGTCACAGCAGCCACAGTTTTAAACGAGGCTTCTGATCTGAGGGACAGTTTGATGTAACCAGCACAAAGCTACGTGTCAGCTGTTCTTCTGAGGAAGGAGCAGTGACAGTCTAACCTGCTGCATTTCTTCTTCTGCATGATTAATGTGCGCACTCCTCGGCGGTTTGGAGAATCCTGGCAGGACGCTGTGAATGAACATTTCACTTTCTTTGTGTTTGTGATCTTTCTTCTGTAATTTCACCAGAGTCACATTGTTGCTCAGATAAAGAGCCTCTGCTGTTAGTGAGAAACCAACTTCTCCTTTTTCTATTTCTGGAGTTTCTCTCACTTGTTACAACTGCAGCCGCAAGAGAGGAAGAAGATCAACACACAGTTCAGTTTTTAACCAAAGTCTGTCAGCATCTACGAGTTTGTTTGGTTTTAAAACTGACATCAGTGTGATAGTGGACTTTTTCCATCAGTTATAAAGTTGTGTTTATCTGTCATTTTGGCATTAAAATAATAAAAACAAGGATTTTATTTCACAGAACTGCTAAAACACTTACACCGAGAAGAAAATAATCTAGTTTTAATTACACTTAAGTCTACAATTACCTTCTATTACCTTTTAAATGACTGAAAGTATTGAATGAGCCACAGACGCTTCAGCAATAGCATTTATCTCAGCTGAGGGAGAAAGAGCCAAGTTTTCTGTAATCAAAGTGAATGAAAGTGTAGGGACACGGCGATCGTGGCTCCGCTTATTCTTTTCAGCTGCTGCAGTGGTGCACAGACAGCTGAGTGTGGGTCTTTGAAGCTGTGAACAAACTTGACCTGCAGAGCGCGAGGTGGGATAATATTTGCTCTGCCGTCTCCTCGGGGCCGGCTCCCATGCATATCTGTGTCTGTTTGTTCTCTTCCCGCCGGCTGACCAGCAGACTCTCCCAATGAAAACTGTCGATATGGCAGCTTTTCCTAAACAGTCTTTTTTTCTTTGGCATCATCTTAAAAAACTGCTGTAGCTGCAGCATTTACCGCATTACGTCTTTGCTGCGTGTCTTTCCTCGTTTGTTTGAGGAACTGAAATCGGCCTCTGCAGCTTTTCTGACCAGAGTTTACATTCTTCACAGATGGCTGGACTTCTAATGAAATGGGAACCTGCCAGTGTGTTGAAATGTCTGAGTGATAGGGAACGCTTACAGGAAACACTTTAAGGGGAAGACGTTTTATCAGCACACTGAAGGAGGTCAGAGGGACACTGATCATGTAACCTGTGTGAGGATGAGCAGAGTTTTATACACTGACTTTAGTACATTTAATGACGCCATGCAGAATCTGACCTTCATGAATATCTGCACAGTTACAGGCCCTCAGATATGTAGGGGGTGCGGTTTGTTTACATTCATGACTTCATAATTACAGCACATTAAGTTTTCAGTGCTGAAAAATATTAATGCTCAGTTAAAAACTAAACTTCACAATCTAAAGCCAAAGTCTGGCTAACGTGGAGCGTCGCTATGATGGGATCTGTCAGATGCAGCGGAGCAGAAAGCAGCATCGATAGTCTGCATCTTTGATCTGGTTTCTGATTATTTCAAACGGTGCCAGCTTTCACGACTCATATCAACATGCGGAGCAGGTGCTGCTCAGGACAAGTTAGAGCAAATGAAAGGTCTCCTTTTTATCTATGTACCAGGATTCCTTCTGACTGATTTATGGAGCCTATCGCATAAAGCAGTGCACACCCTGAACAGGTCATCAGACTAGTGTGGAGCTAAAACGAATAAATAAATAATTACCAAAAAGGTAAATAGGTACAGAAGCAATGTCACATTTTACATTAATGATGTTCTACTTTTGTGTTTAATATTAGTGATGATTCATTTTATTAGTTCCTAAGGTAGATTAGTGAAATGTCTAAAATGATTACAATTACTAAATAAAACTGTAAAGGAAACTGTGAAAAGGCATCAAATGTAAAGTTAATTTTATTCATTCATTTATTTTCCCTCCTGATTAGAAAACACCATCTCTGTCGTCGAGGCAACACTCTGACCTCTTGTCACCCTTTGAATTTGCAAAATGAAGCAGAAATAAGCAAAGAAACAAACAAGAAAATACACAAAAATATGAGGTCAAAACTGTAAATTAGGGAAGTGAAATAAAACGAGTTTATACACAAGTTGATAATAATAAGAAAATCTGTAACATTTTATAAGTTTATTAAAATACATCAGCTAATGCATAAAAACTCTTATACTTAATAATGAAGAGAAGTTTTATTTGTAACATTTTGCTTGTCCTTCATATGATTTTGAGAGATGAAGTTTATTTCCTTCCTGTTGACTCTGATACATGTTTGCTAAGCTCAGTCTGTGCTCTCTTTCAGGAGCCTGTTTTCTAGGAAACCCAAAGAGCCCAAAGCGACGTCTCACAGCTCAGCAGGGTGGCGACTGTTTGGCAAGACCGCAGCCAGAGAAGGCGATACGAGCAAAGACCTCGCCTCCACGCCGACCGCGGAGCAGGTTGGCTCTTTAAACACACACAATCATATCATCATCATCCTCCTCCTCCTCCGCCCAGGGTGTTTAATCTGCTCCCAGCCACAGTCGGTCCTTTATAAGGGCATGAAACTCTCCTGGGTGAATCATCTGAGCAGAAACATGAGCTGCTATGTTGGAAAATCAGATAAACAGTGGAAGGTAGAAGCCTTAGGACTCAGAAACTGAGGGCGAGGCGTTAAACGAGCTCCGCAGGCACAATAAAGGCTCTGTTTGCTTTCAGCGTTACTCGCTGTGTGTCCTCCATGTCCACTCGAGGTCTTAACAAAAACGCTGATTATTTTAAAGCACACCCAGCTGTGTCCACCTGCAAACTCAGTTGTCCTCTTTCCTTCTGTCGGCACCTTTTCTTCATCAGTTATTGAGATTTTACGTTTTTCTGAACCGTTTGCGTTGTGGGAACACGAGCACTTCATTTTCTCAGGGCAGGCTGCAGACTGTACGTGTTCATGTTCAAGTCAGAGTTTGAAGCCTCGTCAGTGAATTCTGAATGTCTTCATGTAAATGTTGCCTCCAGCACAGAGAGGGGAAATAAGCTTCACACTGTGAGGTAAGAACGAATCATCTGCAAATAACTGACATCCAATTTATAAACGTAAACAGACTGCAAAGTGCTGCAACTCACCTGCAAATTAGCTGAGGTAAAGTCTAGCAGGCAGCTAGCAGCTATACCCACCTGTTAGTCAAAGAGGCCACGCCCCCTAATAATGCAAACTTTTAGCTGTAATGCAGTTTAAACAGGTACCGCACCCTCGGTACAGTTGTTATTAAGCAGAAGTCACCTATAGAGACCAGAACAGTTTCTTTGCAGGACTTCTGGAGCCAGCCCCTAGTGGATGTTAGAGGAACTGCACTCTGGAGCTGTCCTGGGGGTTGCTGCCTGCTTGCTGTTGGAAAATAGAGCCATGAACACTGCGCCTGCAGTCCCATCCCATGCACTTTCTGCTTTATTTATGCACTTGAGCAAAGTTAAACTTTTTTTATTTTGTTTAAATTGAAGAAGCTGTGAAGCAGCTCTCAGCAGTCACATTCAGAGATCTTTAACTGGAACACCTGCTGGGGTTTTTCCTCCCATGCAGCTACGCTGAAGTCCAGTCGATGCTGGATGGAGTTTTTGCTCCGGCTTGTTTACCACAGGTTGCAAAGCTTTTTCATGCACGTTCTACCAAACCAAAGTGGGAAAGCACTTTCTCTGTGGGATCTGGCTTTGTGCATGAAGCCATTGTGACACTTTGGGGTGGCTGTAGCTCAGGCGGTAGAGCAGGTTGGTGGTTTGATTCCTAGTCTGCATGACAAATATCCTTGGGCAAGATACTAACCCCAAATTGCTCTCCGATCCATCCATCGGAGTATGAATGTGTGTGTGAATGTTAATGAGAAAGCAAAAAATGTGCTTGTGTGAATGGGTGTGACTGAGTGAATGAACAAGTTATGTAAAGCGCTTTGAGTGCTCAGAAGAGTAGAAAAGTGCTATTGAAGAACCAGTCCGTTTACCATTGACACTGAAACAGGAAACAGCCAAACCTGAAAGCCAGGACTGTTTCCACCGAGCTGGACAAACACACTATTGTCTGAAATATCGCTGCAGCAGGAAGATGTCCCAACAACATCTGTGCTATGGAGCACGCAGCAGACTGTCACAGTCGCAATGTGAATGTCTCCCTGCTTTCTGGTACAGAGACTGCAGAGCTGCACCGGCCTGGATTTACTGGAGTCTTATTTAAGGAGCCAAACCATGATTAAACCATCAGTTAACAGTTAGCATCATTTGGCAGCTTCAGAGCTGTCCTTCTGCACTATTGATAGGAAACAGTTTAAGTGAAGTCAGCCTTCCTCCTCCTCCTCCTCCTCCAGCAGCTTTGTGTCTGACGTGTCAGCTAGCCTGAGCCAGGCCACATCTGGCCAACTCTTTTCCCGATGAATCATCTGACTGCTGCTGCCGTCATGTGAGCAGAGCGAGGGTAGAGGCCAGCAGCTGTTGGCAAAATACCTTTAAGGCTCCAATCAAAGGTCAGAGGTCACACAGTCATGCTCCATGTTACTGTGGCAGCAAAGAAAATCCCGCCAAGTGTGACATAGTTTTTTATCCGGCAAACTGATGTGAAAATGTATGTAATTAAACTCAACTAGAGGAGGAGGCTGGTGTGTGTCTGCGTGTGTGTGTGTGTGATCATCATCTGCCTCCGCAGCTTCAGGCTGTGTACGTGTGGATGTTGCCCAGCACACTACATCATTTTACAGGCATCGTGTTGTACATAAACACAGGCAGGCTAACAGTGTTAGCATCAACCTGGTAAACACGTGTGCAGATGCAGCTCCTCTCTGCTCTGCAGCATCTGGATTTTTACTGCTCGTAAAAACTCTCCTCAGACATAAATACTATGATCATGTGGAGCTTTTCTGTGCTCACACAGACACTCGACCTGCAGCAGACCCACTGATCTCCTGATCGTCAGTATCGCAGAATTAGGAAATCACCTTTGCGGAGGTTGAAGGATCTTCTCTGTCTGAGTTCTTCATTTGTAGTTCTGTAGAGTCCAGCTAGCTGCTAACGTAAACGCTCTCATCCAAATACGTCACTTCTGCTTGCTAACATGGATGCTTTTAGATGTGGAGGCACAAACCAGTGGGTGTGATGTCACTGTGGCTGCATGCATCTTTTATTTACAGTCTGTCTAACAAACCATAATATGCACGTTGCTGTAATGTAAAGGAAAGGTGAGCAGCATGTGTCACGTCAGTGTTTCCTCAGCTCCGTGTTTTTATATCTCGGCTCTTTGGAAATCACCAGGACGGTCACATGATGCGTATCTTTTTATGACTCTCACTTCATGTTGAATCTGATGACAGAGCAGCTTCAGAGGGCGACCTCTGTCTCCCTCTGCTGGCGGCATTCACGCCTGAAACCAGCTGATGAAAGACGTGTTGTTCTGTTGACCCCAGCTGTCCTGCTCCTGTGGATAAACGGTTTATTGTACGGGCCCCACACACACACACACACACACACACACACACACACACACACACACACACACACACACA